ATATATATATATATATATATATATATATATATATATATATATATATATATATATATATATATATATATATATGACAACATTCCAGATCTATTTTTCCCTAAAAAAAATCACTATATAATATCAGTGTGTTCCATAGTTGTCGTTCTATTTGGCTATAGATTTTGCATTGAATCTCTGCTATAGACAGGCTCTGCTCTATAGACAGAGTGCTCTAGTTCTGTTGTGTCGCGTCGACCAGGTCAGGGTGTTTCTGATCAGACAGTCTGGTGTCTCAGGAGAGATCTAAATCTCCTCAGCACAATCCCTTATTCTGTCCCAGTGTTTTCTCTCTCTCTCTGTTTGCCAGACTCATTTTGAATAGACTCTTATGTCAGCTCTGTGTTCGGGACCTGTCTGTCTGCTTCTGTGTCCTCACACACAGATTGTGTAACATCCTCCTCGTTGAAATGTAATCTGAATGTAATCAGAACAAGTGCTTTGGTTTTATTCAAGGACAATGGATTCAAAGAACACAAGTCGACGAGACCTGTTCGATACGATAGTGCAGGCATTGCATGTTTGTTTCATTCAGCTAAACTAAACCAGGACTCAACAATAAGATGTTTTCGTTGTTCTATAGATATAGATATATAAAGAGATAGATATTTAAACAGATAGATGGATAGATAGATGTAGATGCAAATAGATATATTTTAAATTATTAAAAAAGATAAAAGTATGTATTTATTTATTTGCTTGTATATATGCATGTATGTATGCATGTAAGAATAGAAAACACAGATGGTGTATAATGAAATCTCATGACCACATTTGGTGGTATACGGTGACCTTTATTTTTATTTTTATTAAATTGGCCTCCAAGGTTACGAATTATGCAATCAAGTTAGCCACCTAAAGCACTTAAAAACAGCAGAATTTTCTGTAACATTGTTCCACACATCACTTAAAACTACGTTTAAGTTTTCAAGCCATTGTAAGTGATTAACAAACATAATGTATAGTGCAATACAGCACTGGTGTGAAAGGGCAAGTGCAGCTGACCCAAAATTATCTCACATGTACCTCAGGCTATCCTTACTGGAGAGCGGAAGTAAACCCTTTAGAACTTGAAAATGAGCTCAACATACTCTTAATAGATCTGCATACATGTGTGGATATTTTGTTCTTGGGATGTCTAGACTTTAAACCCACCATGGATTTGGTTTTGGCCTACTTGTGTGGCATTAAAACTAAAAACACCTGAAAGATCTGCTGACCTGTGCATGTCCTCATCAGCAGGACAGGCCGTTCCATATATGCACATCTCCACAATGAGAACATGAAGGAACTATAGAAATAAGGGTTTAATTTGTATTCTGGTAGATACAATCACAAAGAGAAAGAAACAGATTGTATCCTGTTTGACTACATAGTTTGTGTGTTTGTTTATGCAGCGCTATTCTCAAATACGCACATTGTGTACCACATTATGAGTGACTTTCAGTGTGTAACTTGTACATATCAGTTCACTGAGCAACACGAATGCGTAGCATGTTATGTGTTTAAGCAGCACACCGAGTAACTAGGTCAGTGTTACATAAGTAGAGTAAGCCTTTGTGTCAGTATCTCATGATAGGCCAGAACAAGAAGTGAAATTCTTTTTACACAGCACTCAAAACTTCTTTAAACATACTGAAAGATTCACAGTTATGTAATCTGATGTCAATAAATTTGATTGAATAAGGCTGCAATTGCATGTTGCGAAATCTAATTACATAACTGCAGTATATAATTACGTAGGTGGATAAAGTATTAAGAAAGGACAAACACATGAATAATGCAACAACTTTTTTTTATTTTTTTGTAGAATTTTTGAAATGCACCCAAACCCTAGCACTGAATATTAGTGTTATTTACAATATGCATTTCAAAACAGAGCAACAGAACAGCAGTGCCACGGTCTACTCAGTAACACCACACAAGCCTTGCTCGCTTTTTTTTCCATGTTAATTTTGATAAAACCATACGAAAATAAAAACATCACTCAGTTTGAAACACACTGAAAGGACTAAGGGGGATAGGTGACATTGTGGTGAGCAATTACGAAATCACAGCTAAAAAGGAAGTAAAGACACAGTTAGTGATAAACAGGACAACACTTGGCCCCCAAAACAGTTCATTTAAAAAGCACAATACAGTGTTGTGAGTAAAAAATATTTTACATTTATACACAAGTGCCATAAGTTAACGTGACATGTAGATTTATTTTGGAAAAATACAAAAGGGGGGTTGTGACTAAATTGAGCTACACCTGAAAAATGTACAAGCATTCTTTTAAAAGTGGAAAAAAAGCTCAACAACTTTAATTAAACCTCATTTTTGGCAGGGAAACATATGCAGGGTAGCAGTTAACTAGTGAGGAGTCAGCCAACCAGTTAAAGACTGAAAAAACTGCAGTATCAGCTAGCAGAATCGCTTAACTAGGGGCCTCAAGGGCAAGCGGTCAAAGACACTATGCTAGTAATCATTCATTTATACTGATGTAAGCAGGGTGGAGCTTTCCTGTAAACCCCATGCTAATAAGACCAAAACATTCCTTTCACATTCATAACCAGACAGGAAGAGAAAGTCATTCTGCATTAAGCATATAGACAGTTCTCTCTGTAACAGGTTATGATGAAGCAAATCAATGTTTTTACATCAGTTGGTGTATAAGGAAAACTATAAACATGGAGGAGGCTACAGAAAAGGGAAGCTAGATATGTACTTTTAGGATAGGTTTAAGGTTTTAAACATTATCTGGATTTTTTTTTTTTTACGTTAAACGCCAAGTAATGTTTCAAGACCAGACAATGAGTTATAACTACAATGAAAACACATTTTAGTATCTATGACATGAAGCTTACATCAACCCGCTAATGTATCTGTAAAGGCTTTGGGGCATTTTGTAATTTTCCTATAAAAGGAGTGTTTCTAAAAACAATATTTAATTGTAAAAAAAAAAAAAAAGGAGTTTATATCAAGTGGCATCTCAAACAGCAAACACACTGATATTGTACAGTATTTTTGACAAGGACAAATTCATTAGTCACTGAACTTGCTATTTTTTCATGTAATCTTTTTGTTTTCTTCTCAAAATATATTCATATATAATATTTATATCACATTTTATACATACAAACCAAGTGCCTGATCAAGGAAGAGTGGTAGCTAGGCTGTTTAATGTGGGGAAAATGATGGGGAGCACTAGTTAGAAAAGCAGATAGAGGTAGGGAGCAGAGAGAGGTATGAACTTAAAGCCATGTTTCTTTGGTCAAGGAAAAAGTTCCCTTAATCTTCTGGTGCTTGGTATGTTTAAAAATGATGCACAGCCACCTGCAAATGTTCTGCTGTTAAGGTGTGGCCAAAAACTAAGATAGGGGCACTTGAAGTTGCCTATTTACAAATATGAATCTGTTACAATGCCTCACATATGGTAGGTATTGCTTTTGAATTGAATGACACACTTTGACATCTTGCTGCAGCATGAGAACTACGGGTAAGTGCGATCAATAGCATGTAATCATATTTCATTCTGTTGTAAGTGCTGCTGTAACCTTAAGAGGAGGTCAAACAAACCAAACCAACAAACGGTAAGTATATACATTATGGTACAATGCAGCAGTCCTGTCAATGTCCACTTCTCTTATCCCTAGGCATTTGAACAGGGTGAAGGGTACAAGATCAAGGTAGGACCTCAATATGGGTTTATAAAAAGTCTCTCTGGGCTTTATATCAAGACCCAAGTGAGTCCCACAGTTTCCCGTTCAGTCATGTCTCTTGTTACGACCGTTACGCATACTGGATTCCTTCTTCCCACATTCGATGCTTCCAGTCGAGGTGTCCTGCTTGTGAAACCCTGGACTCGACTGGCCGCCAGATTGAGACAAGGCCAGGTAAGGATGCTGAGGTAATGGCTGGAAGTTAGCAGGTGGCGTCGTCGGCGAGTTTTGAGACGATGCTCCCCCATCGCTCTGAGCTCTGTGTTTGAGTCTCAATTTGTGGGGTAGGGCAGTGCCTTTGATTTCCGCTTGGCCGTCTTTGCATTGGCTTGGTGAGAAGGAGCTCTGGGTCATGAATATATAAGGATGGTTGCTCCCTGTATCAGAGCAAGAAGAAGAGGGAGACTCATCATCGGTGGAGCCCTCTTTATCAGAGCTGCGGGGATCCCCGTCACTTGAGGAAGTGTCCTTTCCAGAGTGACTCTCGTAGTACTCTTCTTGTCTCAAGCCTCCTTCGTAGGCCAGCACTGGTGGCTCGTCATTCTCTAAGGTTCCATTAGAACACTGGTACATCTGTGCTTCATCTCCTTCCTCTGGTCTCATTAGAAGATCTAGGGCAGCAGCATCAGCCCTGGGGGTCTGTCGTTGAGCAATGTAAGCTTGCCTTTCGGCTGCTTCCCAATCTGGGTACTCGTAAGGAGGAGAGTCCAAAGTCTTTCTCTCTAGCCGTTTAGACACCACTGCCAAGCTTTTGGGACTTCCGGTTGGTCCCTCAGTAGGCTGTGTGAGGTTCTGCTGTTCTTTAGGAATCATTTCCTGAGTTTCCACAGGATACGAGGCACAGCTTGAACGGTATAGGATAACACTTCTTTGAGCGGATTGTGGAGCAACTGGACTTGCAATGGTCTCTTGGCGCCGTTGCTTCGGTTGGTTGGCTGAATAACCTGGCTCAAAAGTGTGCTGGTGAAGTACTGCGGGCAACCTAGAATGAATGTTTAGCATGATCTGTGTGGTAGTGCTGTTGACAATGTCCATATCTAGACCCATCCCCTCCTGCTTGATGTCATACACAAGTGGCTCTGGGCTGTCCCGAGAGGAGCCATCGGACATATCGGAGAGGGAACCTCGTGGGGAGTATTTTGCCATTTTCACATGCCTGTCTCCTCGAACAGACTGGTCAGTTTCAGAAGAATCAGAGTTTATCATCATCTGAGAAACACTTGAGTAACCATTAGGGTAGAAACGACTTGTGGTAGAGGAGGATGTGGAGTTTCCCCCAGGACTTCCATTGACTGCTCCACCAATCTGCTGACTCTTTTCCATGTAGGAGGCTGTACTTATCATACCAAACCTGAGCTTAAGTTGTAAAAGCTCAGTTTTCAGACGTACATTTTCATCGTTCAGCACCATAACTCTGTTCTCTAGGATGATGTCATTATAGCGCCGTTTCTCCCGGGAACGCTTGGCAGCCTCATTGTTCTTGCGTCGCTTCTCCCAGTAGGATTCATCCTTATTGTTATCTGAGATGAACTCACGCTTGCGTCGACAGCTCATGTTTGGCTTTGGTTTGAGATGGTGGCTCTGGCGAATGTTGCTTTGAGGTGAATGGAGAAGATCACTGTAGTCCAGAAAGCTTTCTGTGTTCTTTAAGGTTTTGCTGGCACTCGAATTTGTTGAAATTTCTAAGCTCAAGCTTTCCATTGTTTCTCAATGGGAGCCAGTTTGGGACCGCTGCTTCACCACTGGTAAAATGGAAATAAATGAAGAAACAGGGATGGGGTAAAGGGGGAAAGGTGGCTATGGGAATTCCTGTAGAATATCCTGATGAATAGTGGACTGGAGAATCTTCAACTAAGTAGCTGGATAATCAAAGACTTTATGAGGTATTTTAGTGCCTGGAAAACTGAACCTCATTGGTTTTGTTGATGTGAAACTCAAGCAAATATCCCTTGATGATCAAGAGTCCAGCTTGGCTAAGAAGAGTAAGAACAGGTGCACCTCTTTATGAGTCTCCTGCAATTAACAAACCCCCAAAAAACTCTTCTGGCTGTCTTGCACACAATGTCTTTCAAAGCCAAACAGGGGAATGAAAGAGGGTCAATAAAGTCCTGAAGTACAGGAAATGTGACCAAATTTGCTTAAAGTATTCTGACCCCCTTTTCTTTGTTTTCACTTTTATTCTTTTATGTAACGGCTCTATCAAGCAGACAGAGATGTGTTCCAGTGCCTTGGGCGTGTTGGAGGATATAGGTCACTTGGTCTGCCCCAGCTTGTCAGCCTCTTGGGGAGGGGTGCTGCTGCTCCCAAAGCCTCCAGCTGGCTGTTCGATGAAAGGCTGCAAACATAAAAGAGAAAAGAAAGACAGATTTGTTAATCCTCGAAAGCTAAAGCAATTCACAGTTTGCCTTTAGCCACTTCAAAGAAATCTTTTAATTTGTTGTGCTTTTTCATTTTTAATGAAACTCTCCATGCTTCTCTGAGTGGCTGGGTAATCAGAAGATTTAGAAGTGGAATGTTCAGCTGTGTCTTTGTCATATCCTCTTGCTTCATCTACTCAACCCTGACAACCACAGGATGTTTTCTGTTGCCCGGCAACCACCGCCTGACCTGCTAACCCTGCTATTGATTTGTCTGTCTGCGACCCTTGACCTTTACTCTCTGGCTAGACACTGGACTCTCATGATGCAAAGAGAAAGAGAGGTTATGAACGCTATCAGTGATTACCCAAGTTGCACTTTTTTTTTTGTCACTGAGGATCTACAGCTAAACAGAAATTACCTAAAATTAGTTTCCTCATTCTGACACAAGTTAAACATCACCCTTTGTACAGAATTCAGCCAAGACTGTTCTGTAAACAGGACTACACATATGGTAAACATTAGCAATGAACACATGATTTGTTTTAACATTTTGAAACCTTATCCTGTATTACATCATCTGCTCTGAGGGAACCAGTGCAAGAGGTTTCTGCTTTTGAAACATTAACATCAAATGTTACAACACATCTCCTCTTGGCTGCACAGTCCAAACACTCTGGTGCCCCAATATGCAATGGGGCCCAGGAACTGAATTTAAAAACATTAACACTTCATTTTTTAATGACTACTCCCTAAAAGGCTTTCAAGGAGAACTTTCGAAAGAAGCATGCTTTAGATGAAAAATGAGGAGAAGCCAAGAAAACCTCATAACAATAATTACTATAATGGCAGATAAACCGAGGTCAGGCAAAAGGCAAGCCAGGTTTTATGATCTGCGGATTGAGAGCTTTGCAATATAGGTCAGGCATATCTGGAAAAAGGGGAACATTCCATCAACATGAGTTCAGATCCAGGGGTGGTAACTGTTTCAGCCATCTAAAGTGAGCACTAACGGAAAAGCAGAGTTGCCAGTGATGATTAACTCAACAGCCAGTGGGCAATTCCACATTTCTGTGATCCGATCATGACCTAAACTGAGCACCAACTCCCTATTTCAATATCACGATGTTGTTCAGCTAAAGGTGCCTGATTTCCTTTTTTCTCTCTACAAACTTAAAAAACACATTTGACTGAAAATATCTAGTCTTAATCCATAATTATACTTTGATACTCTCTAATATTCCTAATATTTGTTCTCTAGCAATAAAAGAATAAATATAAAGTGAACCATCACAAATTTTAGTTTACACAGAGTAAAAGCATTGCTATATTTATTAGGAGAAGCAACAGTAAAAGAGACTCTTAGTTAAGACTATACTTGCATATCTAAAACAGCACCCTGACTCTGTAGCATTAAGTATGACATCTGCATCAGAAATTAGGCAGAAGTACGCAGTGTAATCCCATGATTTGGCTGCCCTTTTTATGGGTTATGTTCTTCTCATCCCAGACATCTGAGGCAACATTACGTAACTACAGACAGCTTAAGCCTCTTTTGATGGCTTCAATCAATACTTTCTGGTTTAGTCTGGTAATGCACAGGGCCAAAACCTTTGGTTTTTCATTTTCCTCCCTTAATTAGTTGATGCTGTGAATGGAATAAGTGCAATCTTTATTAAATGTAAATAATGTTAAACAGGTAAACGGGGAGTTTCATGAACAAGTAGACATTTAAGTGAGGCACAAAACAAAAGAGTCTCCCTGAATGACCCACTGACCTAGAAACTGGGCAGCTAGCAAGAAAAAAACTTTTTTCTCTTGTGCTCAAATATAGGTCAGGAGTGAAACAGGCATCACAAGAGATAGAGGCAGAAAGGGCAAGGGAATTAAAGTGCTTGCTAAAAATAGAGAGGTGAGGGATAGATTGAGGATAAACGTAATGAAGAAGCGTAAAAAAAGAAAATGCAGGGGAAAGATTTTGCAGACATTTTTCTGAATGCCAGCTACACAAACCGCTTTCCAAGACACCCTAACAAAAAACAAAAAAAGCCACATTGAAGATCAGCACCAATTTCCCAATTATCTGAGAAAACTGAATCAAATTTAAACAAAATTATTCATACTGGCATAGTACTTAGTGTTATTCTAGGGTATAGTCAAATTTGTGAGAAAAATGCTTGATTTAGTTCTTTTTAGGAATTTCGTCAAACCATCTGATTCATTGACTGAATGAATCAGACTTATTTTCTCAATGAATCATTTCAGATTATTCACAAATGCCAATCATTATTATCAACGTCAAATGAGTAGAGCACATTTACTGTGTTATGTCTACTTTTGAAGTAGTTTTAAAAACTGAAATGACTAGAATAAAACTATAATTATTACAAATGTAAATACAGTGTCTCTTTCATTTAATCTCTTCCTTTTATAATGGAGGGAAGAGGCTATTAATAAAAATAGTTAGTGAATGAGTTATTTAGCCTGTCAACCACACCCATGAATCATTAAAGATGCATTTATCTCCTTGATTTAGCTACAATGCAACTAATTATCAAAATTTAAGATTGGAGACACCAATTGCCAAACCATCCTAAAGAATCTGACATGACACACCTATGTCTGTTATTCAAAACTACTATTAATTATCATGTGGCACATGGATTAAAGACATAATTCCTAATAATTGATCTCACTGGATGACCTGGAAAGCTTAAAACTGTTACAAGACAGTAAACCCCAATTTAATTTGCCCCATATATAGGCTAGTATATGGGATATATTTGTGCATGTGAGGTTTCATCGGGGAAGAAATAGCATGTCTGTCCCACTGTAGTCTTTACTTGGGCGAGGCCTGGAAACTATAATTCAGCTCAAATGTTTCATGTGTTGCTTTACAGCCGTTTTAGTAATGGAAATAATGGGAGAAGGCGGATTTCATTGTGGCTATGTAATTGACCCTGGGGCAGAATGTAATATTCGGCACGTGGGTTAGGAGCTCATTTTTTTTCTCCTGTGGATTCCACGCCTGGGTTTATCTCCTCCAGTAGGAGGAGGGCAGGCCTTGGACAAGCAGGAGGGAGTTCCAGGCCAACTCTTTCTATAAACACACTCATATCATCATCTATTAAAAAATAATAAATGCTTTGACCAAGTCCATGTGTTTCAACAGTCACATGCGCTCTCTTGCTCCACAAAACTAAATGGTAATTTGCCTCTCCCTGTTAGCCACATCGGCACAATAACGACACATCTCCTCCCTATCTTCCTTTCTCTTTCACTATGAGACATCTTAAGAAATCCACAAACTGAATGAATGTTTATTGCTTAAAGGGTACAATAAACTTAGTCACAATCAACACTGTAAACCAACAATGACATTGCACTTAACAAAAGTGTGTTTGTTATCTATTAACAATCTGAAATATTCATCCCCACAATTTAACACTCAGAGAGCTGGCACTACTAATGTGTGTTTTTTTGGCATTGCTGTTGAAGCAGGTCCCAATATGCAAGATTTTGTTGTAAACTGGCAGAATCTTTGTTCTTTGTTATGGCAGACGAGAGGGTGTGTTTTCTTCAGGTTTATGACCTACATTCTGCGCTGGCACACAAAGCACTTCGTCTGATGCCCCCTGATGCCTTAAAGACTCCACATATTTATTATTATTATTATTATTTTAGACTTCTCATTTCTCACCGTTATGTAACTCTTAACACAGAAAGACTGCATAATGTCAAAAGAAAACGGCAAGAAATCAGTTTACAACTATCTGCCGGGAAGCTCAGGAGAATAGCAATGCAAAGTTCACTGACATCTATAATCATTATATACACAAATAGCATGCACATCTGAGGGATCTGTCCACCATAATTAGGTTTCAACACTTAATACAACAGTAACTAAAAAAGTTAAGAGTGCGGTAAATAGTCGCCATCCCGCATCCACATACTAAGGTAGCAACAGTTTCCTTCAGTATCTTATAAGCAGTGTTGGGGAAAGTTACTTTTAAAAGTAATGCATTACAATATTGCGTTACTCCATTAAAAAGTAACTAATTACGTTACTTAGTTACTTTTTATGGAAAGTAATGCGTTACTTTTTAAATCTGGACAGGGCTTGCTTGTTTGCTTTTAAAATAAAAAAAGTTCTGTTTTTGGCAAATATAAAAGCCTTTTCACACCAAAGTGAAGTGAATAAGCCTCAGGCTGAAGGAAAAGAAAATTTACGTCCGTACAGTAGAATGCGGAAGAAGAAATTTCAACACACTTCAGCAGTAAAAAAAGACACAAATGTGTGTCTAGAGTAATTTGTGCTTATTAGTACGGTTGAACTGGATCATCGAAGGTCAGAAGCAAATAGAAT